CAAAGAATGAGTGACAAATCCCAAGATTCCCTGAGTATGAGCATGGCTTCCTTTTCCCCTTTCCCTGTCATGTCAGATGGTATTTCATCTTGAGGCCCTTATCCATTGCCTTCATCTAGTGTGTTGGTAGCTCTCAACAGATAAGTAGGGTCAGGTTTGAAAATGGAGCTCTTCATAACATACCTAGGAAACAAGACTGAAACGTACTGGTCTTGGCAACAAAAAAATCACAGGGTAAATAACACAACTTCAACCTACGTAAGTGGACAACAGCCCAAGCTGAAATATGTTACTGAAAATCTTTCCCGTGCTGCAGCCTCTGCAAAGGTTCTTAAGGGACAAGTAAGTAGTGAGTGGAGGCTACTCTGGACAACATCATGTGAGGCTAGGATGGAGGTAGCTGTTCTGAAAGCTGAAATCCTGGTTGGCACACTAAAAGCGGCAAAAAGACTAAATCCTCAAACTTGACTATTTCGGCACCCACAGATTTCTATTCCCAGTAAAGCCTGTTGTATAGCTGTCAGAGAGATACTTTCTCTCATTTGCTTTAAATGGGGAAAGGGAATCATCCAGCTATTAAAAACAGTTGAGCCAAAGACTATGCATAAACTTGTGCTGACAACAGGGAGGACTGTGTCTGACAAATGCAGTTCTGATTTTTTTTCCCTTTTTTCTTCTAAATACAACTTTGATGGGGTCTGAGGGTTGCTTGCTGTTGGCCTCATACAGTGAGTAGAGTGATTCTCACAGATGTTAATCTGAAGTGTGGCCAGATTTCACATCTGGATGTGTTGGGATTCTGTGATAAGGTTTCTGTTAGACAAGAAGTGCTTGTTAACCTCAAATTATATAATTTCTCATAGTTTGTGTAGTATTAGCTTAATGCTGGTTGTTTCCTGCTGTGTTGCAGCAGTTTCAAATACTGGACTAATAGAAGCTCTGCGTTTGGAAGATTAGGGTTAGATTCCTGTCCCTGCTACGGATTCAAGTCAGTTAAATTCTGTCTGTTACCCAGTTAGTGAAGTGGAGGAATTTCTTACCTGAGTATTTGTGATCAGTGTTAGTAGCTGTTGCTTGGAAGTCCTCTCCAGTGTGGAAGTGTGTTAAAAGATACAAAGTAGCCTAGCATGGGCACTTAGTAGTTCCTATTCAATTCTGGGTTTGAAGTGATGTGATCAAGAGTTGGTAAGTGCCTGCAGTGAAGTAAAATCTTTTTTACATCAACCACTTTCAAGTTACTTATTCTTTTTGTGTCTGTGGTGCAAAACTGAATGTGAACCTGTCATCAGGAACTGCTAAATCGAGATTAAAAACAACCTGCAGTATTTTTGGAAGTGTCTCTAAGATTGCAGAGATCTTAATGTAAAATATGGTAAAACTGAGAGACTTGTTTAAAAAGCCAAAAAATGAACTGACCTGCTGATAGACTGTTTTCTTGAAAACATCTTCTGCACAAGCATTTGGTTCTCTAGCAGTTCAGTTGACAGTGATTCAACTGCTTTTCTTAATGTAATACTTTAGGAAAATGAGATGTTTGGATCACTGAAATTTCTGAGGTTTTAAATAATCTCCTATTTTTGAATACTTTCCCAAGTATCCATCCCTTTCATATTGACCTAGAATAAGGTAATATCCTCAGTTGTATAACAGCATTTGCCTTTGCTAAAGGATTGTGTGGCACCAGACTGGTTGGGAAAAGGTAGTGAAGGGATGAGGTGTAGCAGGCTGCTGCGCTCGACCTGCTTCTGGTCGTCTGACTGTTGTATGAGATCCCACAGTTCTGGAGCCGTTCGTCCGTCACCAAGAAAGGTGTGGAAGTGACCTTGGATGCCAAGGGATGTTTTCACCCCTGGCAGCTGCAGCTCTGCTTAGTACTGTCCTTCTGCTTGCACTGAAATGACAGGGGTGCCGTTAAGTTCTTGCTCCCTTTTGCTGCTTTTCCCCCTCTGCTGGGTGGCTCTCGCACTGCATGCACCCCTGCTTACCGTGCGCCTTCATTTTAGAGTTGGTGTATGCTGGTGCTCCCCAGCAGTTTGCCTTCTTGTCTTGAAAGCAACGTTAATTTTAATAGTTGGACCCTCTGTTCAAGTCTGTATCTCTGCAGACATCATCCAAGCTCTAGGCAGGCATCTTTTCCATTGTCTTTTGCATCTGATGGGGAGCTCATTTTTCCAGAACTTCTCATACTTGTACAGTGGAGAAAATTGTACTTATTAGAAGAATGAACATTGAAATTCAAGGTACCAAAAAATTATTCTTAAGAACAGGAGCATCTCAGCCAAAAAAAAATGGGTGGGAAGACGTGACTCTCTTGACAGTAGTGCAGCACTATGTTGAGACAAGACATAAATAAAATATTATTTTAAATGCACTGACTTTTTCCTCAACCAATTAATCTTTGGCTTGTTCTGCTGTCAGTTTCAGGCTGTCATTCCTGAGAGGTTATCTCATGCATCCAAAGAACAAACGTGCATGCACTGTACTATTGAGCTGCTCTTTTGACTTATGACCAAGCTGCCAATTAGCATCGTGCTGTTTTATCTCTACAAGCTGCTTCATTTTGGTCCACAGCAGAGAAAAGAAGCTGTAAACACAGCACGTTTTTCATAGTATATTATTTTTTGCATTTCTTACTGGGACTAAGAAGCTTGAAGACTCAATTAGAAACCTTTTAAGAAGTCGTTCAGACTGAACATCCTTTGTTCTCTTGCCAGCTCTTTCATTGTGGATGAGAAAATCCTTGCACTAAAAATACAGATTTCTCAAACCAACATGCCCTTCTGCATATTTGATTTTTCTAAAGCAAAATATACATTTTCCAGCTTTTCAGGATATATAGGTCAATGTCAGAAGAAACTGGACACACTTGTTTTTCCTGTGCTGATTCCATGTTGGATGAAAGCGGTCAAAATATCACTGTCAGGCAGCGTGCATAAGAACATACCCTGTTCTTTTGTCCTTCTGGGGTCTGTGCAAGTGAGTTTGTGAACTGCAACAAAGCATCGTTTTGTCAAGGTTTTCTACAAGCAGATATCTAAAACTTACATTAAGATTGTGCTGGTTCAATGAAAATGTCTTGGAGAAATGTAGGAAACTTATCTCTGAAACAGTTTTCACATTTTCTTTTAACCTTCAGCAAAAACAAATGCATATGCTTTATTCATGAGCTGTAGTGACTCAGTGGATTGCACACGCTGTATAATATTTTATAGTTTTTAATTTATGGATGTAGGATAGAGGATTTGGTTTTAGCAATTTCTAACAAGACCAAATCATGGAAAGTTAGATTTTTGGCTTCTCTGAAAACTAAATACAAGTAAAGTAAATTTAAGATTTAAGAGTAAATGTAAAATTTGAGAGTAGGGAAAATGGGAACATAAATAGTTCAGCCAGCTGATTATTCTGCAAATTTCTGTTTGTTATTGCTCCTGGATATTTGGCATTTTGAATAATTTGTTCATGGATCAGGACCATTCGAAAAATTACTGCATGGATGAAAAAATTAGTGTGGAAGGAAAACCTTGTGTGATAAACTGCTGTGACAAAGATCTAACTTTAATTTATATGCTTCATTACTTCAGATATGTTAATGGAAGACAAGAAGTGTAGTGGTAATTCTAGTGTTGCCATGTAATGTCAGTGTTGAGTGATAATACACTGGCAGCGAATAATGCAGGAGCATGTATTGCTTGAAAGAGAACATTATTAAAGCCGTGACTTTTAACCCACAATTAACTTAATGTCACTGCCCATATATACTGTAATTTGAACTAAAGTTTCCTTTTGAAGCTTGAGGAAATGTTCTGTGTTTCAGGGTGTTGTCAGTGATTCTGTTAGGCAGCCTGTGCCACCATGACCAAGGTCTCTGGGAGTCAGTGTGGAGGTTAGAATTAGTTTGGCAGTAACTCTCTAAGTGCTGGTAGAGATTGTGTCCCGTGACACTCAATTTTATGGATGGATATACAAACATTGGTTTATCCATGGTCTAGATAAGATGCACACTGACTGAACAATGTTTTCTACTCTTGATTAGGGGCTTGCACAAAAATAGGAAACTTCTGTGCTAATCAGGAGTTGTAATCCCTTTGGAATACAACTTGTTTTGTTCTTAGTCTTTCCTAAAACATGTCCCCTGCCCCCCACCTTTCCTGCTGCAGTTCTTAATTGATTTCATGTAGTGCAAGGCCCACAGTAACAGTACAGAGATTTGGGTCAGCTGTAGCTTCCAGATTTTTCAGGCTGAGATTAACAGTGTCAAGGGAGTTAGGCTGAAATGGTATCTAAAAGGTTATATAGGAATTCAGGAAGATAATATTGCACAAGTTCTTGTATTTGGAAGTACTTGGGGCTTGTTGCTTGCTTTTGTTGCAATTAAAGACCAAGCCTTTTTGGATGAGAACACAGATCCTTCAGTGTCAGTGCCTTAAGAGCTGTAGGCAGAAAGTCACCTGACAAACCTGCAATTTTGGTGACTAAATGAAGACTTCCTTTTCTGCAGTTCAGAGAGCTTTCCAGAGAACAAGTGTAGAACTGCTTCACTTAAAAAAAATTAAAAATTGTATATATAGCCACATTGTCTAAGATGGGGTTTGTAACTAAATAGAACTAAACTGATGCTATTTAAAATGTGACATTTAATGGGGGAAGTGTTGAGCCATGAGTTCTGTTAAATGAAGGCAAGGTACAGCTGAAACAGAACACACTATCCTTCTGGTAGCACACAGTGAACTTTTGCCTCAGCAGACTGAGATTACCCTGTTATCTTCTCATTCTGTATTATGGTGACATTTAGTCAGGCTCTTAAAATACCACTAGGGATATTATTGATTTGATAACTGACTCCTGACTCCTTCCTGCAGTGCGAGGATCAAAACCAGGCAAAAATGTCCAACTTCAAGAGAATGAAATTAGAGGACTGTGCTTGAAATCCAGAGAAATCTTTTTGAGTCAGCCTATTCTACTAGAACTTGAAGCTCCACTGAAAATCTGCGGTGAGTGCTGTGATTTCAATGCTTGGAGGGTGGAGTGTCAGGTAAATGCAGAGCTTAAGCAGAGAACAGATTCCAGATGCTGCTTTCACTTGTTAGCAGTGGAGCTGGTCACTGATCATAGCAGAAGGGAAAATAAAGCCTTGCTGAGTGCTTAGGGCAGAGGAGTGGAAAGGAGGTAACAAGCATGGGAATTGGGAGTGGGGACCCAAACAATCCAAACCCAAGAAGTAACTGGTCCAGTGTAACTTTTGAAGAAGGAATTCACTTTGGAAAGGAGTTTTTGTATTGCTGAAGCAATATTTGGCCCAGTCATGCCTTAACAAGGGGAAAAAAGGAGAATGACAGTAGTTTATTGTAGTTGCTGTTCAGAGTTGAACAGTGTCTCTGCAAGGTTTCAAAGACCTGCTGGACACTTATGGAATTTCTGTATTGCTTCTTGGAATTACTTTCTAGTTTGGTTTCACTATTCTTGCATACAGCTGTGTTCATCTTGCACACATGTACATGTCTAGTAACGCTGAAAGAATGAAAAATGTCCAAATAAAAGCCTCAAGAAATGCACTTTAAAAAGCTTCCAGCAAACAGAATTTTATACTACTCTAACACAGAGGATTTACTTGAAGTAGCTTGTTAAATACTTATAACATTGATAGTCTAAAACCATCATTTAGCGTTCTGCTTGTCAGAAGCAAAGCCGTGATTTAAACCAAAGGCAGAAATACCAATTTCATTTTCAATACAACTTCACTGCTAGAATTCAAATTAGTGTTTCAAGAGAATACCAGAAATGGTACAAAAGAAAACAAATTCCCCAAATGGTCAGTTTTCCATCAATGTTACTATTGCTGTGTGGAAGTGCCAAGAATGAGGTAAAGGTTCCTGATCTCACAGCCACTACTCAAGTAGAGGATTTAGCTGGAGGCCATCTTTGCATCTGGACATGTGCTTGGTGTCTGGAAATCTTGATTTTGTTTTGTGTGTGTATGAACATTTTAAATGGTGCAGTTACCCATTGCATCACATACATGTCAAACTTCAGAATGTGATAATTCATATCTGAAGACAAACTACTTTTTAAAGTATGTTGGAGGCAGATGTAACTGCAGGCTCTTTTCTTTATGAAGCATCATTCATTTGATCTTTCCTACTTGGGTGTAATTTCTGGATCCTCCTTACAGGTGACATCCATGGACAGTACTATGACTTGCTTCGACTCTTTGAATATGGAGGTTTTCCCCCAGAAAGCAACTACCTGTTCCTTGGTGATTATGTTGACAGAGGAAAACAGTCTTTAGAAACAATTTGTCTTCTGTTGGCCTACAAAATTAAATACCCAGAGAATTTTTTCCTCCTCAGAGGGAACCACGAATGTGCCAGCATCAACAGAATTTATGGCTTTTATGATGAATGTAAGTAATGCAGATGTGTGTGGCTTGGCTTGGCAGAGCAGAGCAGCTGGTGCTGCAGTGTTAGAGCTTTTTTTGCACACTTCAGGGAGGGGGGGCTTGGCCTATTTTAAGAAGGGAAGTGTGTCCTGGTGCTCACAGTACAAAGCAGGATGCAAGGGGATAGTTTTATTTATTGGTTGTTGTATTAACCAACAGCTCTCACTGCTGCATGTTGCTGAAGTTCTTAAGGTCATCTGATGAGAGAATTTTGCTTGATGTGCTTTCCCAAAGTTCAGGTCAGTTTCTTTCATCTGAGGGAGGATCATGATGATGTATATTTGTGTTATAACTTCAGTTGAAAAATGGGCTCCTCTTCACTGTGGCTATGTTACAGTGCTTACAATTTGCTTCATATTAAGACTTAGAACTTTGGAATGATTAAAAACAAGACAGACTTTGCCCTCCTCTGCATACAATCCTGCTGTTGCTTAGGCCAAACCCAGTGTTTTCCTTTCATAAACGTGGCAAAGTTTGTGTGACGCTTTCAGTGTGATGTGTGCTTGGATTGAGCACCAGATATTTGGTCTTTAGTAGGTGGCTTTACCTGCAGAAGCTGTTATTTTGAACCAGTGCATCAACCTTTCAATGAAGAAGTGTGCTGGTGTTTACTGGGTGTCATGAGTGCTCCTTCTTACCAAACAGTATTGCTGTGCAGTGAGTGACCAGCTCTGTCACTGCTGAGTGCCCTAAGGGCTATTGTGACAGAGGTACACTTAGACCTTACCCTGACATAGCAGGTCATTTGGCTGTGAGATAGAGGTGTATGTTCATGTTTCAAAGGATGTAACAGTAAATCCCGATAATGGAGAAGAGGTAAAACTGGGAATTAAACTGTGAACTGAAGCATCCTCACAATTTCTGTTGTGGGACATGTTTGGCTTGTAACTCACAAGATGTGCTCTGCACGTTTTGTTCTCTTTCATTGAGGAAACAAAGGTGTGTAGTATTCCAGAGGTGATTCTTCAAAGATTATTCACAGGCTTAGTCGTATATCAAATGCTCAGGGTTCACTGTCTGTGGCCCTTCCACCTTTGGAGGAAATTCTACACCATGAGGGTGGTGAGACACTGGCCTAGGTTGCCCAGGGAAGTTGTGAAAGCCCCATCCTTGGAAGTGTTCAAGAGCAGGTTGGATGGGGCCCTTAGCAACCTGTTCTAGTGAGACGTGTTCCTGCCTGTGCAGGGGGGTTGGAACTAGATGCTCCTTAAGGTCCCTTCCAACCCAAGCCATTTTGTGATTCATATCTGCTGGGAGAGCCCCTTTGAAAGTAAAACTGCAGCAGTTTCATTTTTCAGTCTAGTTTCTTTACCAGAAAGACTTTATGTGGTAAAGCAGAGGTGTAGAGGTTTAAAGAAAATCTGCTGTCCAAGAATTGCTGTCTTCCTCTGAAGAAAGCAGCAAATGGCAAGATTTTCTGAAATGGATCAAATGCTTCAAGGGATGATTTTCCAGAGCAAAGTTTGGGCTGGTGAGTCTGACTGCCAACAGTGGGATGTCGTTCTGTTGAACAGACTTGTGCTGTCCTCAGAGCACTCTGCCAGGGTGAGAGAGACCCTTGTGCTTTCTCTAAAACAATAAAGCTTTAGTAAGCTTAAGGCAGCCATGTTAGGTTGGTTGTAGACGTGTTAGAAAAGCCTATTGACTGTTGTTTGTTTGTTGTTTTTTTTCTCCAAAATCTTTTCTAGGTAAGAGGAGATACAATATTAAGCTGTGGAAAACCTTCACAGACTGTTTTAACTGTTTACCAATTGCAGCTATTGTGGATGAGAAAATATTCTGCTGTCATGGTGGTAAGTAATAGTTCCTTAGCTAATATTTGGGAAATTGGAATCCTCTAGGATCAGACATGGCAATTCCATGTTTGTGTTGCTGAAGCTTCAAAACAGTAGAGATTTTTCCCTGCCTTGGTTCCTGTGTGAGGCAGAGTTGAACTTGATTAGTGTAATTTTTGTGAATAATTGAGCTGGTAGTTTTGAAAGCTTTTCATTTTATACCAAAAGGCACATTTGATAGCCTCTTCTTTTGAGTAAAGAATCCTTGTAGGTTTTTTCACTGACTAGGAGTTGTATGTACGTTCTGACAACATACGTTTCATGGAGTCATAGAATGGTTTGGGTTGGAAGGCTCCTTTAGAGATGGTTTAATGGAATCCCCCTTGCCATGAATAGGGACATCTTTCCCTCGATCAGGCTGGTCACAGCCCTGACCAGTGTGACAGGTTTAGAGTTTTCTAGAAATGGGTTCTGTTATTATGTGTGATACCTGCTTCATGCAGCTTCTCAAAGTAATTACATATTGCACCTTAAATATTTTATCACTTGCAAGTAATTACAGTTCCCCAGAGAGACATATCAATGGAAAATGGTATCAGGTCTGTTTGATGCTGTATTCAATTTTATTTAGTGGGACTTACTGTTAAAATAGACATAGCTTGTGATTTGTGGCATTAATGTCTCTCTTACTTAACAGCTCTTCTGACAGACACTTGCAAAATATTACAGTGAGATCATTGTAATCCTGTAAAATGTGCAAATGGTTTTGCTTATCTTGCCTCCAGTAAATCTTTGAGAGTGATTTGTCCTCTGTTACAAAAGCTTTAAAACGAAGGCTCAATTTTAAAAAGGTCAGTTAACATTGCCATTGAACTACATACAATTGCAGTGGTGAATCAATATGAATACAAGTTACTTTTGTCTTGAATTAATACCTCAGTCTTGCCAAGTTGGACTAAAGTGGGAACTGCCTGTGTCTTAACTCTGAACAGGCTTGTCACCAGACCTTCAGTCCATGGAACAGATCAGACGAATTATGCGCCCCACTGATGTCCCAGATCAAGGTCTGCTCTGTGATCTCCTCTGGTCTGACCCTGACAAGGACGTCCTAGGGTGGGGTGAAAATGACAGAGGAGTGTCCTTCACATTTGGTGCTGAAGTGGTTGCTAAGTTTCTCCATAAGCATGATTTGGATCTCATATGTAGAGCTCATCAGGTATTGTAATTTTGTTCATTAAATCATGGAATAATTGAAGTTCAGAGGGACCTGAAATGGTCATCTGGACCCACCCTACACACACGAACTTGACACAGGAGTTGCTGAGGACCTTGTCCAGCTGAGTTATAAATATGTGCAAGGATCAAGGTTCCACTATCTATGAGCAATTTGTCCCAATGTTTTAACACTTATTAACATGAACATTTTTTTCTTAATACATATAAACTGTGACTCTGATTTCTGAGCAGGTTTGTCTTGAACCTACCATGGTCCTGGTTTTCTCACTGCTCATGTGTCTGTTACTGAACTGTATCCTGCAGTGTTCTTCCTGTTTGAGTGTCAAAGTTTGGAACTTGTGCTCCTTAGACGTAGCCAGTTTTTCAGCTGCTGGTTCTGTTTATGCTGCTTTGCGCCTTGGCAGGAAGAAGTTGTCGAGTCTAATGTTTCTGCTTTTCTCTCTAAAGGTTGTTGAAGATGGTTATGAGTTTTTTGCAAAAAGGCAGTTGGTGACTCTCTTTTCTGCCCCAAATTACTGTGGAGAATTTGATAATGCGGGTGCCATGATGAGTGTGGATGAAACTCTAATGTGCTCTTTCCAGGTATGGTACCAGAATAATTCACCTCCTGGTTACTGCAGTCACGCTTTACATTTGCTCTGTTTTGAATTGCTGCTTTGCAGTTGCAAAGCCATAATGCTTGTTTCAAATAGATCTTTAAGAGATACCATGTGTAGACAAGGATGTGTTTGCACTCATCTTCAAAAATGTGCTAAGCCCTTGCCAGTGTGAGTGGATGAACTGTTTTACCCTGGAATTACATCATCCAAGCAAAACTGTCATCTCTGAACCTGCTTCCATTGCCTTGGGCTCTGGGATCAGCTGCTCTGAGCCCTCTCGTACCCGAGTGGGAAACACATAATTTGTGGCACATCTGACTGGACCAGATGATCTTTGTGACACCCTTACTAGTGAATGAATTGTCAGTTGTAAGGAAGCTAAAACTTTTTGCTAAATGACTGAACTATCCTTTCAGATCTTGAAACCTGCAGAGAAGAAGAAGCCCAATTCCAGCAGACCTGTAACGCCTCCCAGGGGTATGATCACAAAACAAGCAAAGAAATAGTCACTTTGGCACTGCCTTGTTGGGACTTGTATCATAGTATATAACCTCCATTTTTAAAACTGTCATGTGTACTGTTCAGCTTGCTCAAAATAGGTAATGTGTTTGTGGTTTTCCTTTTTAATTTGATGAATGGCATTTGCTGGTTGTAACAGCAAATTAAAGACTTTTCTCCCTCCCAGGAAAAGAGTTTTAAACTTCCCTTCCATTGTTGTTACGCTGTACACTCCACAGCATCTTCTCCTATCATCATGGGTAGTTCTACAACTGACTTCCTGAACCTGTAAATGCTTGTTTTTTTCTTTAGGATCTAAAGAGGGCACTAGTGTGCTGTGAGAGTAGAGATTTGTTACTGTCGGAAATTACATGCTGTTTATACAAACCACTGTGAACTTTTTTATGTTAAAATTTGTTTTAAAGGGATTGCTTTTAATGTCTTGTCATGTACACATTAGTTTTATTGCTGTCAACATTAGAAGTAGCCTTCAACCTTGCCAGTGTCACTGGTATGATGTATATTTAATTCAGACACACATCCCCTCTCCGTATATTTCAAATGATAATTAAAGCCATTATTTTAAGTGTTTGTGTCTCTTTCCTGAAGCCAAAGTTTGCTTAGAAAACTGTTTGTACATGACCCACCACCCTGAGCTGGCAGGGCTCTCTGTTCTCGCCTTCCTCCCAGAGATAAAGGAAGTCCTGACATGAAATAGCAAGTAGAAATGCTGTGCTGTTTATTCTGTTCCTGGTAAAAGTAAACACTTTTGTACAGTTTCAGTAAGTTCCACCAAGTGGACTGTTTTCCTGTGGCAGCCAGTGTCAGAAAGCTGGAAGTTCCGGAAGCGGATCTAGATCTGCCTGAATGGTTTTGTGCATTTTAGCCTAAAGAATTTGTTCTACAAAGAGGCCTAGAAAATAGCTCCATAAGCCAACCAGAGGCACTGATCTTGATCACCGGTTTATATAAATCTCACAGAACCTTGTTTTTTAAAAACTTGATCTTTTTTGAACAGATACCAGTGTACAATACCATGTAGTGAAAATCACTTATTAAATGAAGAAATTGTTAAATTTTCTCAGTGTCAGTTTGTCACAGCCTATACACATTCCTGCTTTTTTTCTTAGATAAATAAATTGTTCTGGAAACCCACAGAATCTTGGTTTGGATTTGTCTAAGGTACAAGGAAGTTGGATTCAGATCTGGCTCTGGAACTTTAATGCACAAATTGCCTTCAAGTACAAGCCCCCTGCTTCCAGAAGGGTGGGCTCAGGCCTGGAGCTCCTGGGGTGCCTGGTGAGTGGCTGTTGCTCAGCAGAGTTGCTGCAGGCTGGGCACATCACCTCGGGTTGGGAACTGAAGGCACCAGTGTCTCACCTGTTTATTTCACATCCCCGTGGCCAGGTTTGCTGTGGCCTGAGGCCTCCCAGGCTCCTCAGCAGCAGCAGCAGGTCCAGGGCTACATTTGTGAGAGAACTTGCTCATCTCACCTGCTTATTGTTCTGAGTGGCGTTTGTCTTGAACATACATTGCTTTGTTGGGACTGTAGGTTTAGGATCCATTAGGTCCCATCAGATGAGGTGGTTTGTTCAGTCTAGTCTAAAACTGCTCCAGTGATGAACTTCCTGTGCTTGGAGAAGTCTGGTTATGAAGAAGAAGTTTGTCTCTGAAATGCCCAGTGCAGATAAACCACCAGCTCTGCTCTGGAGCCTGCTTAGCAGATGAGCTTCCCTTCACAGCTGGAGTGAGCTGAGCTTTTTTTGACAAGAATGTGTCTTCTGGGCTGTCCCCAGCAATTGATTTGGGTTTATTGTGTATTGCTCTGCCAAATCAAAGAGCCTTTTTTCTACTCTGAAGGCTTTTTTTCCCCTCTCCCTCTAAAGCTAATTAATCAAACCACCTCTTGAGCTCATTAGATTAGATGTCAGAGGTTGCCAGTTAAAGGCTTTCTCACAAACTTCCTTTCACAGTTAAATCACAGTTGTGGTTTTCTTAATAGCACTATAATTTTTCTACCTCCTTGTATAATAGTCACCTACATGTCTTACTGATCTCATCAATACTAGAGCACACATGGAACCAGTTTTTATTTGACTTGTAGCTGCAGGAATG